AAAAGACTTGACTTGATCAAAATACATTTTCTATTATTTTTTATTTATTCATATTTTTTAAGTTTTTTCTCGCGCTATGCCTAACCCTAACCCAACACTGACCCAACTCTAACCCTTTGGACTTCAGATGTCATAGCTGTCGTGTGTTTCATCTTACAGGTTAACAAAACAATGAGATAAACAGGAGGTTTCACTTGGGCACCTCTGGGCTCGGTTTGGCATCTCCATACTGCTGGAGAACACAAGGCAGCTGCTCAGCCATGACAAATGAAAGTGTGTATGTGTGTGTGTGTGTGTGTGTGTGTGTGTGTCCAGGCATGTGCATGTGACTGATGTAGCCGTTGTGTTTCTGGGAGTTGTTGTTGTTCGCTAACGGGAGCCTAAAGCGGAGCATATGGTGTTATTGGCTGTTATAGAGCTTCGAGGATGCAGCTTAGCACACGTTAACAGATGTTGCTGATAGCAACTGTTCCTTCGATTTTTTTGGACTTCATGGTGCCACAAAAACTCATAAATAGGAGGTTGTATAGTGGGTGTACGAAGCATTTGACTTTGGCACCACAGAACGCTGTTTGTATCCTTTTCTTTTTAGTCACGACCTTGATCTTTCCTCAACCTTAACGAAATAGCATTAGCTGCTGGAATGTTTTGTTTAAAACCACAACCGACAAATATTACTCATTGTGCTTTTAACCATCACTCCCCCTTTGGAAGAAGACCAATTTTCCCTGGACTGTAGCCAGACTATCTGTCTGAATGAACACCATCGCTCTAGTGAACGAATCATTCGTTTACTGTTCCTCCTTGAAAAAGATTCGAATGGCAAAATATGAGTTCCGTCCTAACGTTGGTTCACGTGTTATCACTTGTATCCAAAGTGGTGACCTTCTTCCTCTGTGCCATAGAGCTCAATTGTTACGACTAAAACTATTAAAAACACATCATTGAGCTTTACTCATGTTCCTTCATTACCATGAAAACGTACATACAAGTTTATTTTGACTTAATCCCACCTTCACCTCTTTCAATAGGATTTGTTAACAACGTTAAATTATAAAAAATGAAGAAGATTATTTGGAGATGCAGTACTGAGCATTTGGGAACTGTTGTCAGGAAGCCTTCTTGTTGCAATCTGAGCAGCTTCTTGGTTGTCTTGCAGCCATATCCAGTCTTTAGAGTAAACACAAGCACTAAAACAGTGAAGAGGGAAGGGTGTTCAAATCAAGCCAGTGAGGTAGGAGATCAGCTGCATTTCTTACCTCCCTCACACACACACACACACACACACAGACGCCGCACAGCACGTCACAGCAGATC